GGAAAGTCCTTGAAAGGTCCTTGAATTTGATGTTGACCAAGGTGCGGGAACCCTGTTAAAAGGTTGTGCAGCTTTTTAAAAAATAATAACAGAACACGTAAAAGTCTGCAATTTCATTAACACTAGTTGAATCTTATAATCTTATCTTATTTCACTTAAATATCTAAAATGTCTAATTAGGGCTGCAACTAACGATTATTTTAATAATCGATTAATCTGTCGATTATTTTTCGATTAATCAATCAAATCATTAAAACACTTAATTACAAGAATATGAGTAGATATAAATTAATTTCATTGCTGTATAAATTAGGGCTGCAAGTTATTGATTAATTAATTAATCTTTAGTTGATTTATCTTATAGACTGGCTAACAATTAATTGATAAACAGTCATTTTCTAAAGGCCAGTTAGACCTTAGGCCTGTTGCTGTTTTTGCATAAAAATACTGGGGTATTAAAACATGACAATTTTATTTTATGTAAAAAAAAGATACTAATCTGATTAATGTACAAATAAAAACAGAAGATGTAGCGCTAGATAAAATAAATCGTTTTTTTTTTAAAGAAATGGCTGAAAAAAGAAATCCTATGTGGCAGCACTTCACTCAGCCTGCACCAGACAAGGCTCAGTTAATAAATGTTTCATTTTTGTTTAAACATTTGTAATTGTTATTTTTATGTTAATGGATGAAGAAAAAGCAGTAWCGGCTTCAAGAATCGACCAAATAAAATCAGTTGCACGTATAGGCGTATCAGTTAGACTGATGTCAAAATAATCTGTATCGGCCTTCAAAAACCTGTATCGGTCGATCTCTAGTGTTCATGCGTGACGCCAACTTGAAACTATGACAGTCTAAACGTGACAAATCAAGTGGTTTTTTTTTCAAATGCAACCCAGTRCTTTTCAGTTCGTGGTACTGAATCAGATGTTTTTCAGATTCGACRTCAGTCTGCACGTTTGTGTCAGATTGATCCTCTAACRTTGAGTCATGCTGTTTAAATCTGTAGCTCCACACGCCTTCAGCTACAGCTACATCTTTTTTCTTTTAATTTTCCATGTCCTGGATGACTGATAATCCACAGAAAAATACCGTTGTAACGTAGAGTGATCATGGATCTTATGCTAAAGTTATTCGATCGATACTTTAGTCTAAACAAAACGCTTCGTTCCAAAGATAAAATGCTGCACTGGAGCATCTGGTCAGAGGCAGGTTCAGATATAAACACTGAAATTAAAAAAACATGTCAGATAATTATTTAATCAGCTCTGAATGCACAGCAACTTCAGATTCAACAAGCTAACAAGTAGCATCTATAGACAACTTCTGTAAACAGCAACAGCCGTAGTGGCTCAAAGCAGTGGGACTAGAGCTGCTTTGGGTAAAGGGAGGGGATCTCCCTTTACAGCCACCGTTCTGGGCGCTGCTAACTCTTTATTGGACTTTTCATAAACTTCATCTGCAGACGGTGGGTGCTTCGTGCATTTAGTGAGATATTGCACGTAATTTATGGGTCACATCTCTCGCTTGTCAAACTGTACCTTTTATTTATAAAGTTTGTTCCGATGTGTTATTTGTGCGTGTTCGTTTCCTATGCTAACTAGTTAGCAACTAGCGGCTATCGCTAGTTAGCAATCGAGGCTAAAAACAACACCCCAGCTTTACATTTATTGTAATTAGTAATTAATTTATCTGTGGTGAGCAGTGGAGGAGCTGTGTGTGTGTGTGTGTGTGTGTGTGTGTGCTTGCTTAATAGAAAGACGTCAGTGCGGTGCAGTGTTTTTTATTTATTTATTTATTTTTGATACGACGCAGCAGCCAGCAAACCACGGAGGATTAATCTACAGATTTTACAGAGGGAATATTAAAATTTTTTTTGTTTGATACAAGGTAGCAGGCATCTGTACCACAATAAATACGTCGTGGTCCAGTTCAACCCAGCTGTAGGTTCCTTTATGAACGCATTCATGTGAGCGGGACCAGCCCACCGGCCACTTTATTAGGTACACCTGTCCAACTGCTCGTTAACACTTAATTTCTAATCAGCCAATCACATGGCGGCAACTCAGTGCATTTAGG